AACATCTGCTCCAGCTTCCCGCGTTGAAGCGTAGTTGGATACAAGCGAATCTTGATAACACTGTTGACAGACTTGCTCTCTTCACTTAACTCTCCCAGCGCGCGTAGATCTTCCTGCAGATCTTCGAACGACGGTGTACGCATCGTTCTCCACGGAGTCGCTCTGAACACATCGGTGAAATTGGTGACGTCGAACCACGACGTGAGCAATGGATCTACCAGAGGTGGATGATGCGAGTTCTTCTCAACCGCTTGCAACGAATCCGCATCTGGCATCCAGAGATCTTTCGCCACCGCAGGATCGAACCACGTCGATGGTTGAACGAGCACTCTCCCGTTTGTGGTTGTCTTCTGCTCTGCAGACTTGGCAGTTCTGCTTGTACGTCGACTCTTAGGCTTCTTCTCGTCAGGCTGATCGACAGTTCTGTCATCTGAAGCTGTCTTCTGTCGCGTAGGCTCAGCAATTCTCTGTGAACGGCGACGCTTAGACTTCTCCTCATCAGGCGGATCGCTCTTTTTTCTTCGCTTGCTGCTCATGGCAACAAAACGAAAATGACGAGATCATAGCGACCGAGCGTGGAAGGATAGAAAATGATTTGTTGCAGTTGAAATTGCAAAATCCAAATGTAGTTTGACGATTCTAAGATGCGGTAATATGAATCTTGAAGGGACGTTATGTGAAAATATCGCGTCCAGCATGGACAAACTCGTACAGTTGCAAGCAGCACTACGAGCCATCGAGACCGGCCAACGACTCGAATCTGTGGACGGTGTGCTAGTCCGACAGGTATTACAGCAGCGTCAAGCCCAACTACAACAATCAACACCAGAACCAAACACACCGGAACTTTATCGAGAACTTCTGGCGTTGCGAAAGACTAAGGCAAACAGAAATGTAAAGCAGAATACCCAGCCTACAGATGACAGCGGCAATAATGAAGCTCCGAGGCCAATACCAAGAATATCACCAAAGAAACCTACAGCTGTACGTCGTACGGTCGATTCTCGCCTTGAATCTACTCCCTCATCACTCCAGCGCGCCATCAGCAACAATGACAAGAACGTAGCAGAGGAATTGGCTGTGAACACAACAGAGACGATTGAGCTGATGCAGACAGCTCTAGTCACTCGAGAGAAGGAGTTGCGGCGCTCCGAGAAGGCTGTGAAACGAGCGGATGCAGAAGTACGCGAGGAACTCGTTCGTGCCGAAAAGATCCTGCCGTCCAAATTCCTCTTTGAACGGAACCTCGCAAATGATCGACAACTGGAGGCTGCACGCAACGTATTAACTCGCTTTCAACACCGCTTCTTTAGGCTTTACTTTCATCGTTGGTGGGGAATCACACTAGAACTGCGACTGCAAGCCCAACGTCGAGCGGCAATGCAAATCATTCGCGTCTATCGTGGACATCAAGCACGACGAGAAGCACGACGACTGCGTAAAGAACTCAACGCAATGCAAGCTCAGAAACGCCAGCTCTTAGCTTTCCGGATCAAATACCGCTGCAGCCAGGCTGTAAAACTTCAGATGGTGTGGCGCCGCTATCTTCGACATCGTGCCATTAAGTACCGGCAAGCACGACAAGCTGCTGCTACTCTGCTACAAAGAGCGTTTAGAACACGACAATGGCGCAGTCAGTCGCTGGTTAATTCACTTGCCAACGCACGCAAAGTGTTCGCAGTTGTGAGCTTACAGAAGCTTTATAGGGGGCATCGAGCACGACGTAGACTGAGAGAATCTAGACAACGTCAACGACAGGAGGAGCGAGTGCAGCTTGCATTGCTACGAAGTATGTCAAAACAAGCTCGTGCAGCTTGGGTGGTCGAGAGACGTGGAGCCGGATATTTGATAGCTCATCGAGCCATTTTTCCTTACGCTATGCGGATGCGATGGCATCGTTTACTTGGTCAACTAAGACGTCAGCGTGCAGCAAAGTGTATTGCTAAAGCTGTTTGTAACTGGTTCGGCGTCAAAGGGAGACGTGAAGCTGCACGAGTTAAGCTGGTTAATGAGTGGATGTTACTGGTACAACGCGAGAATGAACGTTCGCGCTGTGCTGCTGTGCTTATCCAAAAACAATTACGAAGGTGGATCCAGCAACGCAAGTATCTCATGGCTCAAGCTAGACGTAAGAAATTTGCTAGACGGACTCGACTTGCAGAGAAAACTCGTAAAATGGAGCAATTGCAGCAGAAAAATTCAGGATGGCTGGGTGTGGACAAGAGAACGCTTGAAGCAGGGAGTTCGCCTACTCGAATAATAACACTACTGAAGCCAAACCAACTTAAGGAGTATGATAATTCTAAAGGTATTCATAAGACTGAGGTGAAGGCAGCGATAGTCATTCGATGTTGTTATCGTCG